TTTGGAGTTTTCAGAGTTTGATAGAATTAGTCCAGTCAAATTGTGGTTTAGCATCGAACTAATTGCAACAGAATTTTTTTCAACGGCATTTAATTGTTGGATGGCTATTTAACAACATACTAAAAATCCGCCAAAATCTGTTCGGTGAAACATGAGAAAAATTGGAAATAAAGATTTTCAACTTTCACCACAGGACACCCAATTTCAGGAAGATCACAAATTCAGACAAAACATCTGATAATTGTGTTTTTTTTTCCTCTAGAATTTTCGATACAACATCGCTAATGTATTTTGCGTAGTTTTGTTTAAAAAAAAAAACGCCGACTAAATGTGTGAGGAACACCTGGGTCAGTGTTTCGTCTTGAGGGCTTTGCACAAGTAACCCAGCCACTTGTCTGTCTTCACATTCTGTTTTTTAAGCTTTAATTTTTTTTCTTTGACGGTATTTTAAAGGGAATTATTAGTCAGTCTGTGTTAACATAGTTAAAAATATTAGTAATTGTTTTTTTTTGCGCAATATCAGAAATGCAGTATCACAGGCTGGTAATTTTTTTATATATCCTGCAGCACGGATGCAAATTTAGCTGCTGACTGGTGGTGAACAGTTATTTTGATCACCTTCGGTTAACTACTAAATTTGCATCCACGCTGCAAGATACGTGCGACTAAATGTGTGCAACGGACGATAGCTTTGTATCAGTACAAACTGTTTATTTTAATAACCGGACCTATTCCCATTTTCTTTAATAGGGTTTTGTGAGGTAGTTATGTTCAAACCTTAGACACAACATGTGTGACGAAATCAGGGACTCTTTTTTTTCTCACGACATGCGCAACCTCCTTTAGGATTATGACTCCGTGCTTTACAATGTGAGTGAATAAATATTCTGCTAAGGATTCCGTCGATTTGGTTTTTGCTAGATCGTAACGCGCTTTTCATTCTGTTGTAAGGGAAATCCAGAAAACCAAGCGTAGTGTGATTGTTCGTTTTTATATTCTTCTTGTAGCGAGTCTCAGATTTAGTTTAGTGTATCTGTTTATTCAGTTTCTATTTTCTGCAACAGCCCTTCATTTCAGGTAAGATGAATAAGTAGATTAATCGCTCTGTCGTCTAAAGGCGTTTATATTCCCTCCTTGCATTTCTTTTGTGAGAACAACCCTGAACCTTGACCAGTTGTTTTTCGTCACTTGGCAAATGAAGACTCTTTTTGTATAACGATCATGGGATCCTATACGTCTGAAAATAATTGCAGTTATCAATGAAGGCGCCAAAGTACTGGACATATGTACGACATTAATGGGCTTGCCTGACTTAGCTTCTGATGGCTCACCTCTTTTTGCAGAACCAATGTTTCTCTTCGGATGAGCGTTGTGTAACACTTCAACTTAGTGCATGTTAACCTTCTGACTGAGTTGCGTTAATTATGCTCTGGGTGGGGAATTTCCATTACTCCACAGACTATTACAAGATATTTTTACATACGCATTGTTTTGGCTACCCAAAGTTAATCTTTCCCTTAAAAACAAGCTTCCCTATTATACTATTTCGTTTTCTTGAAACAAACGTTTGCTGGAAACAAAGTTCTCATGCGATGAATGTTCCGTTAACCCTTATAATTTCTTGGGGGGGAAGGTAACAACACTTTTCCTTAAATGAAAACGCATTTCCCTCTTATCAAACTCATAGGCACTGGAACTTAACCTGTCCAAAATTTGCATTGTTGTGTATTGTAAAGAATAAGTAAAACTATCCTCCCCTCTTCTCCAATTCACTTTTAGAAGAAAACAAAAAGCTTCAAAAAATTTGTATATTTGAGGATGTGGATACGTTAACGAAAATTAATGTGAAGGTAACCGCAAAAGCCAAAGCTTTATCTTGCTGGATATTTGAAAAAGGTACCGAACAAAAATTGCAGTCTTTTGACTGCGAAAAAGACCAAAAGCCGACAGCAAAATAAGCCCGAAAATCCTGCTAGAAAAGAACGAGGAAAGGGAAAATAAAAAGAGCGAGGAGACAGAAAGGACGAGAAGAAAAAAAAGCAGTGGCTGCACTCCTAGTTTTTATTTTGACTTCTTTGGAGTTTTTGAAAGAAAAAGGCTATTTGAGGGGAGAGGTCTATTATGGCTGTAAGGTTATAAAAAGTCCAGCTGTAATATATATAAATTTTTCTCACCCTTGCGGCTAAGAGAAATCTGATAAAAAATAGATATATTTTAAAAGCTAATGATTGAGTAAACGGCTTTCATTTTTCAGGTTTAAAGCCTTACGACTAAATTTGTTGTAGTTTTACAGCCAACAGTTCACTCTATTACTCTGTAAGCCTCCTGTTATTTTGGGGTTCCTTGAGTGGAGCATTGGCTTCCTGTGCAATAGCCAACCGTGTTTAATATTTATTTTGTTTGAAAAAAAAAAGAAACTCTTCGTTTTTAATGTTTTTATCACCGAAAACTAGGTAGCAGTTATTTTTTCTTCTTTCTTCATTTTGTGCACTTTTTGTTGGAACGTGTAATTTCAACTAACGTGGGTTTCCTGTGTTAAAAGCTAAAAATATTTAACGCTTAATTTTGACATTTTGCACCGAACGGATTTTGGCGGATTTTTAGTATGTTGTTAGATAGGTCACCCTTACTTAAATGGCGTTGAAAACAATTCTGTTGCAATTAGTTTGATGTTGAGCCTCAAAAATGCCTAGATTGACTGGACTAATATATTTTAGTAAACTTGTAATATTTAGTTTTGCCATCTTGATACCACGTTTACAATGAAGAAAGGAATATATTTCATTTCTACTTGTTGATTCAAGGTTGTGGTCATCAGGAAATCTAGACGGCGAGACCTATGTATTAATAACAGGTCAATGATCAGTAATGTGAGTTCAAAAGTTTTTGGAGAACTTTTTTGCCCCGTTACTAAAAGATGAAGACCACTACTGTTTGAGGCTAAATGACACTATGAAACACAATTGTATGAAAATGCCATGAATATCTAGTGAAAATCCCATGAAAACTGCCAAAAAAAATTTCATGGCTGTATTCATGGCCATGAATTTTCCATGAAAATGGAACCATTTCATTTAATGACTCATGAATTTTCCTTGAAAACATGGCGCAGAACATTTTATGGGCCATGAAAACATGGGCAAGACTTTCATGAGGCATGAAATTGCCATGAAAAGCTGTCTCTGCTTATTTCATGGGCCATGAAACCATGACATGAGACCTTCATGGGGCATGAATTTGCCATTAATCCTATCAAGGAGTATTTCATGGATCATGAAAAGCTTGTGATCGCACTTCCATTGGCTATGAAAGTGGATGGGGCAGTAGTGCTTACAAAGAAATTAAAACACTGTGTTAGGTTTGTGGCTCATAGTCTATAATATCAAATCAAGTTGATTTCATGGATCATGAATATTTTTTTGCAAAATTAGCTGTAATGGTCAGAGATCACCATGAACATACAGTTAAGAATAATTATTATCAACTATAAACAATATAACCAGGTGCCTAGCTGCAACTTTAATGCCACAAAAGTAACACTCAGTGAGAGGTATTATTGATATCCAAATTGAAACCCTTTAATTTGGGTTGAAGTATCCAAACGTTCTATTCTATGCATTTTCATTTTACATCATTTTTCAATCCAATTCACTAATCTAATCCAATTTACCAATTCCAGGCAATCTAATCCAATTTAGCCCTCCTTGCTCAATACCATTTTTCTATATTGTGTAAGAAATATATAAAAAGAAATTTTGTTTCTTACTTAACAGTTCATTTTTATTGAAGAATCTTCGTCAGGAACAGCGTATTGATCATATTCCACATTACCTTTCTGGATTGTCGAGTGCGCATTTTTTTTTTTTTTGATAGCCTTTTTAGAAATAGCTGTATAAAATTTGCATACCAAGTACACCCGTCCAAGGTTTATTTTTCAGTTTTTGACTAAGACCATGTAGTAAAAGTCCGCCAGCATGGCTCAGCAGTTAAGTTGCCAAGGTTGAAAGTGAAACTAAATAAGGTATAGCTCCGCAAAGTCGCGAAATTAATTTTTACAAACGTTTTATGATGGGTGGCCCTCACTATACAAACGTCTGTAAAATTTCGTGACTTGGGGAGCTGTATCTTCGCTCGCCTCAGACATATCACGTACAAACTCATTTTGGAAAGTTTACTAATGTTAAGGCACTCTATCTTTTCAACAGTGTCAAAGGAGTTTTCGCAAATGATTCCAATTCTTATTTTCTTCAGAAAATGAAATTACCACTGTATAAAGAACCTTTTTAGGCTAACTTGGGAAAATGTAGTTTCATAATCGCCGATTTTTACTGTACCATACTGTTGAAGTAGGAATTTCCGACTTTCTTTTCTTTGTTTAACATTATTCCTTTATCTCTGGTTTAGATTTTTGAAGACCTCGCCTCAAAAGGATATACACGATTTTTCATTAATATTGACCAAAGCTGTGAAAAATGCTTTAATATATATACGACTTCTTAAGGTAAGGACCTGGCAAGGTCAATGTGAGATAACTGAGCAAAAAAATGATGATTTTCATCTCATTTACTACCACCGAAGATTACAGTTTTAGCGCGCAAATGGCGAAAAGGCCGTTGCGTTTCCTTACCGACAAATAAACTTTTTGAAGGCATTTATTTAGCTCTTTTGGAGAAATTTCTTCAAAAGGAGTTGCGAGTTTTTTTGTATTTCAAACCACTTTTAAACCTCAAAACCGGCAGTAAACCGTCAGCCGTTTTGCTGTTAACTTACGCGAGTTTGGCGTCGCTCGCTTGGGGAGCTGAAGGTGAATCAGTGAATAGCACCAAGAGATTATGGCTCCTACTAGCGTTCGGCACTCGGATATTCCTAATTTGAGTAGCCAATCGGAGCTCCACTGGTTTACTAAACACTAAATGCTTAAATAACTATCCCCTCGGCCATTGGTGCAACAAATACCATCATTGTATATACCCTTTAGATATACATCGAGTTACTTGGTAAGGAGGATCAACCAGACACCACAGAAGATTTATCTAAAATTGCGTCATCTCAGTGGCTCCTTCTTCCGCGTACCTGCCGACAAATCTGAGGAAAATCTCATCAAGCAATACTACCAGCCCGTGGCTTCATACAGGACCATCAAGTTTAATAGGTTTACGCTGAGTGACGTGAAGGAATGCAAGAAAAGGAAAGACAAGAACACAGGTGAAAAATGGCATTTAAATTAAACGTCAGGATATTTATCTGACAATTTGTAGTTGGCGGTATACTAAGGGGAGGTGGATTATGATCGACGTTCGGTAGTGGTGCATCAGTTATTTGGTGAACATGCGAATTTGACATGTACGTCAATTTAAGCGACATGAAGCTGAGCTAATTTTAATAGTTATATTATTTTAGTGTATACACTCTCAGAATTATTAACACCAAGACGATTACTTTTTTCCTGCCAGAATCATATTGTGTTACCGAGGATGACTCTCGCTTGGTAGCAATGTGTAATCACGTCTTGAACAAGCGAGGAAGTCACAGTAAAGACGCTTTGCTGGGGATGGAGGAATGCCAAAGCCCGTTTGGTATTTACGAGCTGAAGATACCAGTGGACAAAGATCTGGCGTGTGATGCAAATAGATTTACAACCACGAACTGCAAAGATCTTGATGTTAGTAGCTTCCTTAGCCATAGTATTTTGACATTCCACAATGTATATTATAGCGCGCTCAGGTTTTAATTATAACTCAGCTTTTTCATAGGAAGCCGCAAACTGCAAAATGTAGTCCTTCACTTTCATATCCTTAGAAACATACATGTATTGATTCGAGTTCAAATCACTCACTAAAGCGGGCATAGCAACCTGTCGTTTGCCTTTAACTGCAAGGAGGAGGGCGTAGAGGAAGGGGATGGGTGGGAGTGGGGCGTGAGTTGACAAAAACTTCGCACTTGCCCTTGACCGCCTGAAAAAGAAAGAAAAAAAGAAATGAAATACAGTCAGGTCTTTCTAGGAAGGACGCCTTCAGGACCGGCCCGTGCTGTCCGTCTTAGAAATTCGCAATTAATACACATCTGTTTTACTTATGCAAAACGGCTAGAACTGTAACATAGTAAGAGAAAAGTGGAATTATTTTCTTATTGTGCAATCAAATGTCAGTACAAGCAAACGTTCACGGCTTCGTCTAAAAGCGTAACAGTTAAAACTCTATAAATTGGAAAAAACTAGGAAACATTTAAAAAAAATGCACCTGCAGCTCCGTTTTGAGGTATCTTTCCCTGCATAAAGCACTTCTCAAGTGTCCTTTTTCCATCTTATAAAACGGCAGGGACCAACACCAGGTGTCCGTCAGATAGAGGGGTGCGCAAGGAGAAAGTTGACTGTATAACGTCTTTTCTTCAGGCTATTGTATTCCTTCCTTTTATCCCACCCAAACAAATTCGACCCTTTTCCCGCCGCCGCTGTAGCTCTAATTTGGAAAGAGCGATTGGAATACTTGGAGCTTTTAAGAACTGTGATCTCGTTTGTAACTTTCGGAATTACTATTATTGAATCCGCTTTGTTTAGCAAGAAAACTTCATCTTAAATTCTGTTTACTTTCACAGCTGACCAAGTTCACCCAAATGAATGTATGGACCCATAACTTGTTCTGGGATGGAGAATATCCCAAAGGCCCAGACGATATCATGTGTCGCAAGAGCCAGCAAAGAAAAAGTAATGAGACTACCACTGCTTATCAGGAACTGAATGTGATTCCAGAAATTGAAGATCATTTTTAATGGACCTCGTTCATTGATTTTGTTGCCCTGTAAGTGTAAGTGATAAATTGGGACTTAAGTCGACATACAGAGCCATTCGTGTCTATCTGAATGCAGTTTGTTAGTGTATCNTCTTATAAAACGGCAGGGACCAACACCAGGTGTCCGTCAGATAGAGGGGTGCGCAAGGAGAAAGTTGACTGTATAACGTCTTTTCTTCAGGCTATTGTATTCCTTCCTTTTATCCCACCCAAACAAATTCGACCCTTTTCCCGCGCCACTGTAGCTCTAATTTGGAAAGAGCGATTGGAATACTTGGAGCTTTTAAGAACTGTGATCTCGTTTGTAACTTTCGGAATTATTATCATTGAATCCGCTTTGTTTAGCAAGAAAACTTCATCTTAAATTCTGTTTGCTTTCACAGCTGACCAAGTTCACCCAAATGAATGTATGGACCCGTAACTTGTTCTGGGATGGAGAATATCCCAAAGCCCCAGACGATATCATGTGTCGCAAGAGCCAGCAAAGAAAAAGTAATGAGACTACCACTGCTTATCAGGAACTGAATGTGATTCCAGAAATTGAAGATCATTTTTAATGGACCTCGTTCATTGATTTTGTTGCCCTGTAAGTGTAAGTGATAAACTGGGACTTAAGTCGACATACAGAGCCATTCGTGTCTATCTAAATGCAGTTTGTTAGTGTATCCAATATAAATATACTTATCAAAAAAGGTGGCATCCAAGATAACTCTAGTGTCGTGGAATGTGTCCAACATGATTAAATAGAACCCAAAGAATTGCGAAATTATTTTAGTTGTGCTTAGCTTCAGGTTCCATTTACCAAATCGAAAAAATGCGACCCATGGTTTTATTCTGTGGGTTCCTTCCTAACTTCTTATAACTGAAACCTTTGACTGCAGACGAATCTAGACGTAATATAAAGTCTACTGAAAACTTTATTAATGCCATCAAGATAATACAGATATCTGACGAGCAAACGCGTGTCATGATATGAAATCATTGTTCACCAGTGTTTTATTTTAACTTGCTCTGGACTGCTCTGAGAACGCTATATATGAACTACCACTACCTACAGACGACACTATGCTCCTTCTAAACGCTTGACTAACTTCGGCGTATTTTCGGTACAAAAACAATTATACATGGAACAGCTATGGGTCCCCCCCGCCCCCGCTTTTTACTGTTCATTGTATTAAAAGAATAGATTTCACTTTGCCGTTCGTATGTTCAGCAACAGATCACAGAAGTCGTTTAGATATGGTAAAAACATCCGTGACGCATGCGGCTCGCGTACCACTCCTACTGTTCTTACCTTGAGCGCGCGTCTGTGACCTGTGAATGAACAGACGCACGGCAACATGAACTTTATTTGTAAAATTGGTTTTAATGGCAATATGAATTGTACTTTACGAATTATGTAATAGCTCTGTGTATGCTTTCAACGGCAAGTTGAACCACTTCACGACCTATATTGCTAGCTTCTCTAAAAAAATTTCTTAGTCTATTAACATCTAACTCGACTTGTTCTGTTTCCTTGACCTGCTCTCTTTTCTTTCTTTCTGGCAAACAACCAATCTTGGACCTGAGAAAAGATTCAATGTCATATTCTTCGTTTATTTGAGCTAGGTCCGCCACGGCCTCAGCCTGACTGGCATCAGCTCCAAGGTCAACAAGCTTTTCTACAGCTTGCATATTACCGTGAATCGCTGCAATATGCAGTGGAGTGAAACCTTCTGCATCGCGTGGGTTAAGATTCCAAACTCCGTGCTTTACCAGCAAGTCGATTGCTACGGCATCGTCATTTCTAGATGCCACATGAAGAAGACTCTCACCAGGTATTTCTTCGAACATGGCACTCTTCTCTTTTAGTATCTGGTCAATGGTACCGGCTGAAGGATCATGACCCCACCCACCGCCAAGAACAGTTCCAAAATCTGCCACGTCAACACGACCTCCTTTTGTTTTCTTCAGAAACAAACCTAGTAAATGTTTGTCTACCAGAACATAGTGCCAAGATGGTTTACCTCTGTCGGTTCCGCGAACAAGGTAAATTCTTTCTTCCGTGTCTTCGCTGTACCCTATGTTCACATCAGCTTTGTGTTCAAGTAACATTTTGATAATCTGTTCATGTTGGTTCTTCACTGTAATGTAAAGACGAGTTCTTCCTCTCTTAGTTCTCAGATTAACATTACTCACTTTCTGAATTAAAAGCTCTGTCAAATTCCAACCCTTACTTGCTGCGCAGTGAAATGGTGTGTACCCATTAATATCTGGAACATTCACATCAGCTCCATAATCCAAAAGAAGCCTTACCAGATTGAAAAATCCCTTACTCGCAGCTATGTGCAGTGGTGAATAGCCATCATCAACAGGGTATATTAGCATCAGCTCCATTCTCCAGTAGCAAGCGGATAGCTATACCTTGTTTATCCAGACTCAAACGGACTTGCAGGAATAAATTTTATGAAAAAGAGAGTGGGGATGCCCAAAGAAAATCAGGCTTAGGTTTATTTACAATATTCCTTTTAAGAAATCTGGGACTAGAGGAAAAGTTGCGGTAATAAAAATGTTGATTAATTGAGGTCCAGATAATGAAGGTTCAACTGTTTAATAACAGTACATGTTATGGATTTTCTAAGAGCTTATAATGTAACTTAGATTATTTGGTTAACTGTAGCAAACATTGCAGATTGCAAGCGGTATAGTCTTTGATTACCCTTGAATTTTTTATAAATTCTCAAGCTATCATCTAGTCAATAAGATGTGTGTACAAAAATAATATGTAAAGTTTTTGCTGTTTACCAATTTTTAGTCAAGTCTTTGTAGCATTATTGATTGAGGTACATTAAACCCTCTAGCAGTCAATCCAGAAGTCAGCTATTTCATTAGTTGTGTTGCCTTTGGCAAGTATCAATAGCCCACCAAACAAACCTTGGCAATTATGAGGCATTTGGTATTCTTTATCGGTACTTCCTAAAGTACATTTCGATATATTTTTAATATAAGAAACAGGAATTTTTTGTCTGGACAGTCAACTCTCTCTAAGATGGACACCTTTCTTTCGGCCTGTTAAATTTGATATTAGCAAGCTCAAATTTGACTTCTTCTAGGAAGGTCTCACGAGCAACTGAGGGCTGGACTGGTGTGTCCCAGTCTGATCTAACATGCAAAGGATGAAGTTCTTTACCTTTACCGTGAAATATGTATTTAAGGCGCATTCTTCTGGCAAATTGACTAAAGTCATTGAGTAGCTGGCGCCTGGTTTTCTCTTGTCACGAGAGTGGGAATGAATTTTAAACCACGGGATAGTAAGGTAATTTGCTCGTCTGTTAGCTGTGAATTTGACAGGTTTTTGATATGCTGCTTGCGTGACTTAATGTTGTTTAAAGCGCTTTTATCGCTCGATTCTTTTGCGGCTTTTAACAGCTTTGTTATCAGTTCTGTTTCTTTTCCCTTCTTTCCCTTTGTTTCTAAAGGGTAAGATAAGACAACAGGATCAGATTCACTTTTTTTATTGTTTGCCTGTGCTCTCATTTGTTCCAGCAATGTATCGACCTCTTTAATCTTAGCTTTCAACACTTCAGTTAGCTCGTTCTCGTTCTTATCTTCGCTCGTATTTCTATTTCTAGCCGGCGCTTTGCGGGAAGACTGGTTGGTTTCTTGATAACGTCTACGAGACTGAGCTTGTTCGAGCTTTCTGTACTTATTCTTAAGTCTATCTACGCGCCTGTAGTGGAATTTCACGAGGGCACCTACAAGGGCCTGTTCGGCTTTCTTTCTTGTGGAGTTTATGTCTTTCTTAAAGTCCTCGTCGGACGTGATATTCGCCCGCGCATTGTATCATCGTAAAGATTTCTCGTTTTAAAGATTCCCGCTTTTAAAGATTCCTCGTTTTAAAGATTCCCTCTTTTAAAGATTCCCCATTTTAAAGATTCTCCGTTTTAGAGATTCCATCTTTTAA